ATCACAGCAGTTTCTCCAAATTTTCTTTCTCAAGGTGTTCTAGGACACAGATTTCCAAGTCTCGAGTATGGAACCATCAAACTGACACCTCTCTCCTCAAAACATGCAATTCATATTTTATACAAGGCTTTTAAGAAAAAAAAAAAAACTTCAGGGGGGACGCCTGGGTGGCTCAGTGGTTTAGCGCCTGCCTTCAGCCAGGGCGTGATCCCGGAGTCCCAGGATTGAGTCCCACATCGGGCTCCCTGCACAGAACCTGCTTCTCCCTCTGCCTATGTCTCTCTCTCTCTCTCTCTGTCTTATGAATAAACAAAATCTTTAAAAAATAAAAAACTTCAGGGGCACCTGGGTGGCTCAGTTGGTTGAGCTTCTGGCTCTTGGTTTCTGCTCAGGTTGTGATCTTGGGGTCGTGAGATAAAGCCCTATATCAGGCTCTTGGCTCGGTGTGGGGTCTCTCTCCTTCCCCTGTCCATATGCACATGTTCTCTCTCTCTCTCTCAAATAAATAAATAAAATCTTAAAAATGAAAAAACTTTACAGAAATGTTTTAACCTGGTTCAGCCCAAGGATTCCATTCCCAAGCTTCTTGGACCACACCTGTCTTCCTCAAGGAACACCAGGGGCAGGGGGCACATAGGGTGGCATGAGGAATGCTGGCTGAGGGAAGCCCAGGGCCCTGCACTCTGGAACAAGGGGCCTGATCTGTGACCCCAATCTGAGGGCAGGTTCCTTAACCTCTCCAGATGAAAGTTCTTACTTCCAAACTGAGAGTGAAATGAGACAACATGTAGGACGCAACGCCTGTTGGGGAAGGTCACTGACAAGGTGGTACTGCCAGTTGACTCAAGAGCTGGATCCGAGCACTTGGAGGCTCCTCCCCATCCTTAGAATGGGGTCCTCTTGCCTTTCCTGCGCCCAGAGCTGCTCCAAGGACACGGCCTGGAGATGGTGATGGGGTGTTGAGAACACCTGTGCAGTGCACATGATGGAACCTGGTTAGGGCCTCTTTATCAACTTTTAAGACTCAGAGTTAGGGCAGGTGTGGAGAACCCTTCGCCTTGCTGCCGCCCACCACAGGCCTCGTGTGCAAGTTTCCTTGCTTATTAAACCCACCACCTGGGGTCCTGGGTGGCTCAGTTGGTTGAGCAGCCAACTCTTGATTTTGGCTCAGGCCATGACCTCAGGGTGGTGAGATCGAACCCCGCATTGATCAGAGGGGAGTCTGCTTAACCCATGTGAGGTTCAATCTCACCACCCTGAGATCCTGACCTTAGCCAAAATCAAGAGTTGGCTGTTCATCCAACTGCGCCGCCCAGGAGGGGAGTCTGCTTGGATTCTCTCCCTCTCCCTCTGCCCCTCCCCCAGCTCATGCTCTCATGCTGTCTCCCTCTCCCTCTCCCTCTAAAATCATTTAAAACATAATTTTAGGGCAGCCCAGGTGGCTCAGCGGTTTAGCGCTGCCTTCAGCCCAGGGGGTGATCCTGGGGATCCGGGATTGAGTCCCACGTCGGGCTCCCTACATGGAGCCTGCTTCTCCCTCTGCCTGTGTCTCTGCCTCTCTCTCTCTGTCTTGAATGAATGAATGAATGAATGAATCAATCAATCAATAAAACATAATTGTAAACATCTGGCCACCTAGCAGCCTGGAGTGGCCTCTTGCTTCGTCTTCCCCCTACCCTCTGAGTACAGGGCTGGTGCGGGTGAGGCTGGTTTCAGATTCAGTAACCACCTTCTCCGTAACCGTCAGCGCTCAGAGCGGAGCAGGAAGGTGACCTCAGGAAGTAGGGACCTAACGTGAGAAGCCCGCGGTAGAGCACGGAGCGCAGAGAAACGGCCGCGAGAGGAGTGAGGGTGGAAAGACACGGTGCAGGAGGAAAACGAGGGCGACGGGAGCTCTGTAGCTGCGGCCGATGTTCATTATTTGTAAGCCGGGCCACTTGCCACCATATGGGTTTGTAGCTCCCACTCGGGGCGATGCCAGGCCACATGCGCAGGTGCATCCAGGGGCCAGTGACTGAGTCATCTGCCCGGCCAGCTGGCTGTGATGCCAGCTGGGGCGGGCCCCCGGGGGACTCGTTTGTGGCTTCAGCTCTGGGGCCAGGAGTGAGGGCCCTGCCCGCAGCCTACTTAGAGCCGCGTTGCTCCCAGCCCAGGGTCTGGCCCATGTCGCCGTGCAGACTGGCCCCCAGCGCGGTGGCCCTCCAGTGCCCCCCCTGGGCTCCCAAGTGCAAGGGATGGGCCTTCGGAGAGAACAGCAGGCTTGGGAAGCTGCCTTCAGGCATGAGTGGTGGTGCAGTTTTGAGGTCGAGATTAGGGAATCAGCGATGTTCAGGAATGTGGTTTTCAACAGAGACACACATGAGCTGAGGTTACTTTTGGAGGGTGTGAGGAAGGGCAGGGGTGAACCTAGCCCTGGGTCCCCCCAGGAGCAACGATCGCTGACCCGGTGTTGAGGAGACTTCACAGGACCTACCGATTTGGGAGGAGGGTTGGATTTGGAAAGCTTGAGAGTTGGAGGTCCAGAGGGAAAGGGAGAAGGAGGGTGGAGTAAATATTTAGGTGTTTCTTTTTTTAAGATTTTATTTATTTCTGGGATGCCTGAGTGGCTTAGCGGTTTAGCGCCTCCCTTTGGCCCAGGGTGTGATCCTGGGGTCCTGGGATCGAATCCTACACTGGGCTCCCTACAGGGAGCCTGCTTCTCCCTCCGCCTGTGTCTCTGCCTCTCTGTCTCATGAATAAATAAATAAAAATCTTTAATTAAAAATATTTATTTCTTCATGCCTCTGTGTCTCTCATGAAGAAATAAAATCCTTTAAAGATTAATAATTTTTAAATGATCTTTAAAGATCTTTATCTTTAATCTTTTCTCTTTAATCTTTTTAATTAATCTTTTAATTAAAGATTTTTTATTTATCTCTTTATGAGACATAGTTGCAGAGATACAGGCAGAGGGAGAACCAGGCTCCCTGTGGGGAGCCCTATGCGGGACTCCATCCCTGGACTCTGGGATCATGCCCTGGCCCAAAGGAAGGCACTCCACCGCTGAGCCACCCAGGTGCTCCTATTTGGGCTTGTTTGCAATGAAACTGAGGAGAAGGGGCACCAAGAAAAGTAAAGACCGTCTAAGTATCAAAGAAAATATAACTGTGTTCATGTTTAAGAAAATGGAACTATCATAAAGACTAGCTTTCAAAAGCAAAAATTGCCACAATTCCCTCAAGGTGAAGATCTACTCCAGGATCAAAGTATACCTTGATTTTCCTCCATAAATCTCCAGAAAAGCACAGAAACTACCAGTCACTCCAGGCTGTTCCTACGTAGGTTGTTGGGTTTTTTTTTTTTTTAAGATTTTATTTTTATTTATTTGGAAGAGAGCAGGAGAGGGAGCAGGAGAAGGGAGCAGGGAGCCTGATGTGGGACTCGATCCCAGGACCTCAGGATCATGACCTGAGCCGAAGGCAGATGCCCAATGGACCGAGCCACTCAGCCATCCCTATTCCTTTGTTTTCCATCAAAGAATTAAGAAAAACAATCAACAAAGTTAAATAAGAATTTCTACATCAAGTAGCTTCTACTTTAATTTTTCCTGTCTGGACAGATGATACAGTGAAGAGCTTGCTCTAACCTAACTGCGCCCTCTGTTAACCACAAAATGTGTCTAATTGTTGAGAGAATAAAATTAACATCGGATGTTTCTCCCTCAGGATTTAATAGGCTGTTACTTGAGATTGTCTTGAAGTAGCCTCAAACCTGTATAAACTTTAAACAGAATCAAAATGAGAGTGCGATGACAAGAGGGTACAGGAAAAACTGGGATAAATTCATAAAATTGGCAGAGATGATTTCATGTGAAGTAATTGAATCTAAAATGGAACAATGGGGCAGCCCGGGTGGCTCAGCGGTTTAGCACCGCCTTCAGCCCAGGCCCTGCTCCTGGAGACCTGGGATCGAATCCTGCATCGGGCTCCCCACAGGGAGCCTGCTTCTCCCTCTGCCCGTGTCTCTGCCTCTCTCACTGTGTGTCTCTCATGAATAAATAAATAAAATCTTTAAAAAAATAAGATGGAACAATGAAGCTGACATGATGACTGAAAACCCTTCCATTGTGGAAAAATGTTGAGACCCTGAGTTCAATGTCACACATATGGGTGGGGCTCTTGCTCAAGTAGCAAATATTATGTGACTTAACATCAATCTTTCCCGTTCAACCTTGCTACTTCATTATGTTGATACATATCAAAATTTATATAATGGAAACATTTAGACTTTTTTCATAGTGGCAACACCACTAGGAATACCAGGATCTAAGAAACAGTATAATAAAACAGAATGCTTTGGTAATGCTGGTCTACCTAAAAACACCAAAAGACACTCAAATTCACAGCGATTGAACCTGTGTAACAGGGAGAACTTTCTATTAAGGGAAACCCACGTACTTTTTTTTTAAGATTTTTAAAATTTATTTTAGAGAGAGTGAGCAGGAAGAAGAGGGAAAAGAGAGGGAGAGAGAATCTAAAGCAGACTCCACACAGTGTGGAACCCGATGGGGGGCTCAATCTCACAACCATGAGATTCTGACCTGAAACCAAGAGTTGTACTCTTAACCAACTGAGTCACCCAGGTGCCCCTCATGTATTTTTAGATGATTATGGAGGGCTCCATCCTTTTTTTCAATACCTGTAAGGGTATGAACATTACCCCCCCCCCAGACACGCCTTTTAAGTGAGTAAACAGAGGAAGATTGAGTGATTTGCTCACAAGTACAAAACAAATTCATGCCAGAATCAGGAATAGAGACAACAGCCACTATTCCAGTTGGTCTTCCAGCACGCCCTTCGCTAGCCTTCATACTAGCATTTTACGAGTCTGAGCATAATGTATTTCTCTTTATGTCACAAAGAGAAACTGCTTCTTTGACCAGGTCCACTCGAATAACTGAAAGTGAACAACAAGCAGATTCTTATGGTTCGTTTTCTCCAAATGATTTCACAATATTGGGATGTGTGAGAAGTAATATTTATTGCAACACGTTACAAGAGAGTGGCAACCAGTAAATGGTCTTACAAGTTGTTGGAAGCAAGACAACTGACACTGGAAAGAGTAATGAAACAAGAAGGCGTCTAGACAAATGCACAGCATTCCACAACCGCTTCATACTCTGTGCACGGTAAATCCTCTCAGAGAGGAGAGAAGGTAAAATCAAAATAAGGCTTGTTAGAAGCTGCATATTAATACCATTGCTATTATTCTGTCTTACAACAAAAGGTGCTGTAAAATCCCTCTGGAGGAAAAAAGTGCAACACGAAGCCTCTATAAAGCAAACATAGCAATAAGGACCCAACCATCGCTTTGACATCTCTCCTAGGAATACACACGGTGCAAAAAAAGTGTTTCAAACTCAGCAAAAGAAGGTTTCGACTGGAATATGGACTTTCAGGTTAAAGATATATTTTGCAGGAAGAGTTCACCCAAAGTGCAAGAGCTACCGCAGAGAGACACTTTCAGGTGGTAACTAAGTGGAAGAAATGCCTAATTTTTCACTAGGTCATAATGATTCCCTTTGAGAAGTGCTTTATCTTGAAACTAATTATTCCAGTTTTTGTTATATGGTTCATGCTTTTAGACTGCAATTGTCTCAAACTTGCTTGATGCTGAATTTTGTAATGTCAGAAAATAACAGCCTGCCAAAAGAGAATCCCATTAGATGGATCCCTGCAGCTGCTTTTACAAGAAGCATGTTGCTGAGCTGCCTTACAGCCTTTTCACATTAACCATATGAAGCTGAGCTTATTTGACCTCGTATTATTCGTTCTCAAATAAAGTCACATTGGAGGAATTGTCTTTAAAAGAGGCTTTCAAACTGGTCCTTCAGGCATTTAAAAAGTCTTCATATAAAAGTCCACTTCTTTAATACATATGAACAAACACCTTTCCTTTAAAAAATCTCATTTTTAAGCCAAAATAAATTACAACTTGCTGAAATATCCTTTCTAATGGCTCAGTGCTTATTTCAGGTACATGGAGCTGTATTTTTTTTTTTTTTTTGCACATCTTCAGAAATTAAAGATACTAAAACACAATGGTTAACTCTTAAAATGACATGAAGATATAACCCTGGCTCAAGGAATAGATCAAGCTTTTAAGTCTTCAGGAATAAAAAACTGATTCTTATCCCATCCATATAGTTTTATATTATATACATATTAACAATCTATTAAATGATTTTTAAAAAAGCACAGAAACTTCATCAAACTATTTTAAAACTCAGAGCACAGAAGTGTAAAGAAACAGAACATTTAATGTACAATCTATCCCATTTGGCAATGTGTAAATCATGTCGAGGGAAGAAAACTTATCTACAAATATAACAAAAGAAAAGGAAGTGTGCTCTAAGAAGTGCTCTCAGGTCCAAAGCTCTTCAGTTCTTCCAAATTTGTAGATCAGAGTGCTAGAAAGATATTAAAAGAAATCATGAGGAAACAGTGCATGGGAATGAGCAACAAAGAAGTCACTTTCTAAGCATGCTTTGACAGGTACCTCCCTGGTTCCTTTGGATCAATTTCTAAAAATAAAGACTGCAGTGGTACTGGTCTGAATGTGCTCATTTTATACAGCAGTTTGTTGGCCTTGATGGCTAAGCTTGGTTGATTAAATAGACTTTCTTAAAGCCTGGGAAGTTATTAGATAGAAAACCTGTAAGGAAAAGAGGCATTTCTCATAGCACAGGGATGGGGGCCACTTTGCATCGCTGGGCTTAGGTCATACCTGGGCTATGATAACCGAGGAATCCTAAAACAGATGAGGCCGCACTTCTTCATTCATTTACCATATAATTACTGTCCCCGGAGGACTGGCTAGGCAGCGGGTCCTAGCTAAGTGCTAGGAATGTTGGAGTCACAGCAAAGCAAATGGTACTCACAAGCAGAGCTGAGAGCCTGAGGAAGACCATCAAATTTCAACAGCAAAAAAATGCTGTAAAGGCGACACACCTGATGCCAAGAAAGTGAAATAGAAGTAGCTAGAGAGGTCGAGAAGGTCTTCCTGAGAAAGTGGCGGCTGAGCTGAGATCTGAAGGAAGGGTGGAAATGATCTTGGTGAAGTACAGGGGGAAGAAGGAGGGTGCAGGGGACAGAGGTAGGGCACGCTGGGGCCGTAAGTTGAGCTGTGGGTACACGGGATGTGTTGGATTTGAAATGTCAGCCACCCAGGAGAGGGAGGAAAGTGGACACTTGGTTCAGACGTGGAGACAGACCCTTGTGACTCATTGGCATATATGCAGTAATCCAGGTCTTGAGCATAAAGGAGTTCACTTTGAGGGAGAAGAGGCCTGGACTTGAGCCGTAAGAAACTTCAAAAGTTAGTAGCCAGTGGGTGGAGGGCCAGCTGCAAAGGAAGCAGAGGAAGAGTGGCCACAGACATAGGAGCCACACACTGCTACTTAGAAAGGCCCAGCACAGAGGAAGCACACAGCAGGTTGGTTAACTTGCCAGGCTCTGAGCTGAGCATTCAGTTAATGCAGTAGCCAGGCCACATGAGCACAGGAGTTTTTCTTTTCTTTCTTTTTTTTTTTTTAAGATTGTATTTATTTATTCATGAACAACACAGAAAGACAGGCAGAGACAGGCAGAGGGAGAAGCAGGCTCCCTACAGGGAGCCCAATGCGGAACTCAATCCCAGGACCCCAGGATCACGACCTGAACTGAAGGCAGATGCTCAACCACTGAGCTACCCAGGTGTCCCTAGATTAGAGTTTCAAGATCTGATATCTGAGATCTTGAAAGATCTTGAAGATCTAAGATCTTGAAACTCTAAACAGTGCCTAAGATGTTCTCAGGAAAACTTAACTGTATCCCCAAAGGACTGTTGGTCACATGCCAGGAAATAATTACAAGACAGCAGGAACCATCAAACATCTTTGAAAGCCACGAGTGTCCAGGCCACGATGCAGTAAGAGAGCAGAGCACAGCGGTCTCCTTAAACGGAGGGGACGGAGCTGAGAGTTCAGAGAGGCCAAAGTGGCTAGAGTCCGTGAGGCAGAGTACACACGGCTAAGGAGTGAGGGAGACATGCAGGAGACTCCCCTTGAGTCTTCTGCTGAGAACTGATGAGCAGATGAATGTGAAGAAACTACTCAAGGAGAGGGAAGGAGTAAGTCCCTGAGCTGTCACAGGGCTGGGAAGACTTCCCAACCTCCTAAGCAGTGGGAAGCCTCAGAATCGATGGCGCATAAAATGCACCCCCTTAGTCAGGGGACATGTCACCCCTAGACTGGGGCAGCTCTGGCTCTGTCCTCCAAAGCTTACAAGCGAGACTCAAAAGGATCAAACTGTCTCCGAGTGACCTAAGTGCACCCAGGATGAAGATCAAAAACGTTTAAAGGAATGCCAAAAAATCCAGCCCCCACCCCCACAACCAGCTGCATGTGAAGAAGCAACTGGAAGGAGAAAGACCCAAAATAAAGAGAGTAGAAATTAACAAGAAGAGACTCAGAACTGACACAGAGGAACTCTGAAACAGTTAATAAACATGCATCCTATGTTCAAGAAGGTGCTGGAGAGCGTGAGCATGATAAGGAGAAATAAGGAAAATCAAGCAAATGGAGAAGAAACCCATGTGTCTGATGTGACACACCCCTGGATAGGAGTGATAGTGGACACCTGCAGGAGAGGAGACTAGTGTGACCATAAAGATATAACAAGAGCAAGTGTCCCAAATGAAACACAGAAAACAAAAAACAAAAAAGGACGAAGTACTAGGGGTAATGACTCAAGCAGCCCAGTATATATGGATTCCGACGACAGTGGGATGGACGGGGGAAAATCTTTGAATAAATAATGGCTGAAAAGATTCCAAATTCAATGAAAATGAAACCCATAGAGAGATCCAAGAAACTCGATGAACCCCAAACAGAATAAACATGCAGAAGGGTTCATCTCAGCACATCATAATCAGGTTGCTTTAAAACAGTGACAAAAACAAAGTTCTTCAACGCTTAGATCTTAATGATTTGGGGGGTACGGCTATAAATTTATAAGTGGATGCCTAAAATACTTATCTTTAAGTTAAAAGACATTCATTCTGAAAAGCATAGGATATGGGCTTAATATTTTTATTAGTAGGTTCCAATGTGGGGCTCAAACTCATGAGCCTGAGATCATGACCCAAGCTGAGATCAAGAATCAGATGCTTAACCAACTAAGCCACCCAGGTGCCCCATGAGCTTTATTTTAGGGTTTTTTTTTAGAAGATTGCCCCTGAAAAATACTTTTGCTTTGTTTTTATATTTACTTTTCTTAAATACTTAATCAAAAATTCAATTTCCTAACCGGTTTTGTATATGACATGATAATAACATATATTAAATCTGATTTCTGTTTTTCTTTTTTAAATAAAACCTGATATGGTTTTTAATGGCTATGGAAGAGTAGTCTGGGTTCAAGTCTCTGCTCTGCAATTACTAGCTGGGTGTCCCGAAGTAGGCTTTGAACCTTATTTCCTCATCTATAAAATGGGAGCATCACCCGGTTTTTAAGTAGTATTTCAGACAATTACATGGGAACTGCAAGACAACATATATAAATCATCCAGCTGAGCTCTTAGCTCAGAGCAGGACCCCAATTAAATAGTTTACATATGCCCCTTTATACAACAGTGGAATTTTCACCTTTTCAAAGAAGTTCTACACACTGTTAACTAATTCAAGGGATTTATACATGTTCCATTCTATATGCTGCTCTTATAATGAAGTGAGATTTCTGTAAATGCTTTAGGTGTGGTTAAGAAATTAGGCAACTTACCTAAAAAATATAAGTGCATTTTGAAAAAACACAGCTAATCCTGGATAAACATCAGTATCTGCACAAAGTAAAAACAGATTAGAAGATTGCAAAAGGCAAATGGCAGTGGTGCAGTATTTGTGCCACTCACAATGACACGCTCTGTATATTATAAAATACGGCTATTATTCATTATCTATGATGAAACTTTAGGAAGAAAATGTCCATCTTATTCTCCCAAAACATCTTGTTCTCACTCTGGATAAAAGACAGTGAACTTCATAGGTTCTCTTTTTTGTCTAAGGCGATTCCTATGCTTGTAGCTGCAAGAGAGCTGCTAAGGAAGCAGCAGTAGCTCGCTCTGCCCTTATTTGCAGTTTTGCCTCTTGAGGTTTCACTTATCCTCGGTCAAGCAGATGATCCTCCTGATGGGTCATCAGTAGGTCACCAGTAGCCTAAAGCTACATCACTCACCTCCCTTCATCTAGTCACACAGATGTGTTGTTATCTCACATCATCACCAGAATGAGAGGGTGATTATAGTACAAGGTATTTTGAGAGAGAGAGAGAGAGAGAGAGAGAGAGAGAGACCATATTAATGTAACTTATTACAGAATACTGTTATAATTGTTCCATTTTATTATTAGTCCTTGTGGTTAATCTCTTACTGTGCTCAAACTTTATCATAGCTCCTCAAACTTTATCATAGCTCCTCATGTATAGGGATATCAGAGTACAGATAGGGTTCAGTACTCTCCATGGTTGCAGGCATCCATGGGGGGGGGTCTTGGTACATAACCCCCATGGAAAAGGTGGGGGAAAAACTATTGTATAGAAATACAAAAATGGGGGTGCCTGGGTGGCTTAGTGGTTGAATGTCTGCCTTTGGCTCAGGTTGTGATCCCAGGATCCCGGGCGGGATCAAGTCCCACATCAGGCTCCCTATGGGAGCCTGCTTCTCCATCTGCCTATGTCTCTGTCTCTCTATCTCTCATGAATAAATAAATAAAATCTTAAAAAAAAATGTTAGATACAATTTAATTCTTGATGATTTAGTAGTCTAATAATCTGTATACTTACAGTGGGCAAATTATTTAGCCTTATTATGCCTTAGTTTCCTCATTTGTAAAATGGGCATTATAACAGCACCTACCCCACAGAGTATGAGAAATGTATGACTGTGTGTATAGTGCTTCGAATAGTGCTTGGCCCATAAAGTGCTATGTAAATGTTAGCTGCTATTATGATTAGTCATAGGTCAAGAAAATCTGCACAACAAAAGATTTGAAATATGTGTCAGAAATGCTCTCTGAAGCAAAAGCATATTCAATTTATAAACAGGAAAGTATATATAATGAGCACTGCTGTACAAATAAAAAGATGAAATCCACAACTGAGAAATTTCTTTTTTTATTTTATTTTATTTATTTATTCATGAGCGAGGCAGAAAGAGAAACAGAGGCACAGAAAGAGGGAGAAGGCTCCCTGTGGGGAGCCCAATGCGGGACTTGATCTCAGGACCCAGGGGGATCATGCCTTGAGCCAAAGACACTCAATTGCTGAGCCACCCAGGCGTCCCCACAATTGAGAAATTTCTCATTGTGTACTAGTTCTTTAAAAAAAACACACACAACCAATGACTGCACAACCTTTACAAACTTCCTACTTCCCTACACACCTTCCAGAAATGATAATTTATGCCCATTTTCATAACAGAAATTGGAAAGTTCCACCAGTTGCTTGAAGTCACTAAGTAGATTTTCCAAGGAAATCAGTAATAGTACTTAGAGCCAGGGACAGAGTGAGCTTAAAACACACTTCCCTACATGATTGCATTTATATGAAATAGGCAACTCTACAAAGACAGATTAGTGGTTGGGGATCCCTGGGTGGTGCAGCGGTTTGGCGCCTGCCTTTGGCCCAGGGCACGATCCTGGAGACCCGGGATCGAATCCCACGTCGGGCTCCCGGTGGATGGAGCCTGCTTCTCCCTCTGCCTGTGTCTCTGCCTCTCTCTCTCTCTCTCTCTGTATGTCTATCATAAATAAATAAAAATTAAAAAAAAAAAAAAGATTAGTGGTTATCTAGGGCTGGTGGAGAAGGTAATGGAAGTGACTGCTAATGAGTAAAGGGTTTCTTCTGGGATGACAGCGTTCTAAAATCAGAGTGTGGGGTGCCTGGGTGGCTCAGGTGGTTAAGTGTCTGACTTCGGCATAGGGTCCTGGGATCATGCCTGCCATCAGGCTCCCTGCTCAGTGGGGGGAGTCTGTTTCTCCCTCTGCCCCTCCCCTGACTTATGTTCTCCAGCCCCCTTCAAATAAATAAAATCTTTAAAAAAAAATTGGATTGTGTGATGGTAGCACAACTCTAGGTATATTAAAAACACTGAAACATACACTTTAAAGGGGTAAATTACTTGAAATGCAAATTATATCTTAATAAAGCCGTTTTTAATAAAGCACTTTCCTTTACATGAGGAAACTGTGTCCTCCATTAGTATTTTTAATTAAAATAACTCTCTTCTTTCTTTCTTTTTTTCTTTTCTTTTTTCTTTTCTCCTTCCCTTTCTTTCTCTTTCTTTCTTTCTTTCTTTCTTTCTTTCTTTCTTTCTTTCTTTCTTTCTTTCTTTCTTTCTTTCTTTCTTTCTTTCTTTCATCTCTACACCCAACGTGGGGCTCAAACTCACAACCCTGAGATCAAGAGTTGTACACTGCCCCTCCAACTGAGCCAGTCAGGCACCCCTACATTTTAGATATATTTGATGAACAATATTATCTAAACAGCAGTCAACCACTTGTACTGACTTATTTTTTTTTTTAAGATTTTATTTATTTCCTTGAGAGAGAGCATGTGTGTGAGAGAGAGAGAGCGCACACAAGCAGAGGGAGGGGCAGAAGGAGAAGCAGATTCCTCGCTGAGCAGGGAGCCCAATGTGGGATTTGATCCCAGGACCCCTGGATCATGACTTATGCTGAAGGTAGACACTCAATCACTGAGCCCCCCAGGTGCTCCAGGAAATAAGTTATTTTGTGCTGAGTGAAAGACAAAAATTTTCAAAGATAGAGCTAGGAACTGAAGGGGTCCTATCAAGGGTATTAAACATCAGCTGTGGGTAAGGACAAGGCCATGCAGCAGTTAAGCAGAGTGACAAAGAGATTGCAGGGGTAGAGGGATCAGAGGATGAATAAGTGGTGTTACGTGTTATCTGAAACAGACTCCTGGTCTTTGAAGTGAAGGGAGAGAAGCAGGTTCTTCTGAGACTGGATCCTGCCTTTGATCCCACCCTGGAGGAAAACCATGGTGCCTGGAGCAGCCACAAAACTCAGGATGGTGCACTGTGAGCTCACTCCACTGAGTGAGAGAGCAGGTTTCTGCATGAAGGCTACAGTCATGTCTTCAGTCTTACCCCTAAAAATCTCCCCTGTATCTATGCCTAAAAAATTCCAGGCTGGGTTGGAGAGAGGACATCTCAGTGGAATACTGGGGTTTATACCCCTGAGCTGAAACTCTCGAGGCAAGGTATGTTTTGGAATTCAGAAATTTTCACATGTAGGAATGGTGATGCAGGGCAGAAATACAACATAGCAGCCCAGCTCTGTTGGGACCAGCCTCCACAAGGAAATACAACCACATTCTAGCAAGAAAACATCTGAATATCAATTCAATGGAATAAAGACCATAAGGAGCCCCCGTCAACTTAGGTCAGGTTTGGCTGCCAATCTGGTTATGAGAAACCTAACTTTCGGCACTTTGTGGATTTTAGGATTATGTATATGGGATTGTAGATCTGTACAGATTTCCCACTTTACCACTTACAACCCTCAGTAAATGGACCTCGAGTATACAGCCTGGCTGTCCAGGGTAAAGAAGGTAATCAGAAGCTCTAGAAATGGCTGAGAGTTACCTGGTCTTGTCAGTGGCTTAGATTCCACAACCAAGCTATCCCACACTGCACTCAGCGACCCCACTGAGAGGTTTTATTAAATAACTTAGGTATCTTCAAGCTAAGTGAATAGTTACACTAAATTTTACTCCAGGTGGAGCTAACGGACTACACTACATGTAAAAGACGTACGTGAATCTCTATGAAATAAAAGAGGAGTAAAATTAATTAGTTAATTAATTTAAGAAAAAAAGAAATAAAAAGGAGAAATAAATACTTACTTTGGGTAACATATGCACCAAAGAGAATCCACATGGAAGCAATAAGTGATCCAAACATCAACATGAAACCAATGAAGAGCCAAACTCGAGCACCTATATAAAGAACAGGCTTTAGGATTTCCACTCATTTCTGCAGCTGTCTTAAGAATGAGTCACAATGGAAACACCATTAACTTAATACATGCTATGCATATCAAAGACAGCCACATATTCCCATACACCTGCTCTAACAATTAACTGAATAAAGTCTTAAAAAACAAATTAAACGGGGTTAAGCCACACTTGGGAAGAGGAAAAAAAAGAGAATCATCTTTCTGCTGGCTGTAAACTAGGTGAGCATCTAAGTAATTACATGACTGAATTGATTAACTGATTAATTAAACCCTAAAGCCATCATTAGCTTTGCCAGAGGAGTAACCTGGATTCCAACAGCCATTGATTTTAAATAATAACATTTTATTTATATACTATGAGCAGTAAAACATGACTAAAATAGAACTTCTAGGAGTAATTTTAACAATTATATACAATCATAACTAGGCCTATATAAAGAGACCTTTTATTTTCTGCTGATAAATCCCTCTTTGCCAGTGTACACTGACAACTCAAAGTGCCTTTACCTGTTCTTCCTAAACAGCCGCTTTCATAGCTGTCACCTCTCACCTGAGCATTGGACACAGCATTTATCCTGCAACAACACAAAATCATTTCCTAAGCTTGGATGCTGCTAAGATAGTCACAGATGTTTATATATCATTTCGAAGAGAAACATTTCCTAATTAAAGTCAGTATCTGGATAACTGAACATTTCTTTTTAACTTAACAAATATTCTCGTGGATAGAAATGTTACAGAACTCTTTACCTAAACTTCACCCAGAAAACATACTTAGTTTTAAGAAATTACTATCACTAAAAAAAAAAAAAAAAAAAAAAGAAGAAGAAGAATTTACTATCACTTGTGTCCAGAGATTATGAAAGAGGGGCCAATTTTCTGAGTTCTTCACCTATTTTACATTTACACATGAATGAGTCAGGGTGAGTCATCGCATTTTAAGGTTCTCATTATAACCAAGAGTTAAGTTCCTCTTTTTGTTAAAGGTCAAGTGATTTTCTCTGATCCATTTCTCAAAGTCACACATTTGATGTCTATATAATAAACAGGCCCACTTTACTCATGCTCTTCCCATTTTTGTTAGAGCAAGGTGCATTTATAGTAGAAATGTAGATAGTATAGTATGTATAGTAGAAAAGCCTCTTCTCTGCACCCTTAATAGGTGTAAGTAGTTCTACCTTCTACAATTTAACTTTTTAAAAAATATTTATTTAGAGAGAGAAAGAGTGCACCAGCAGGATAGGGAGGGGCAGGAGGAGAGGGAGAGAGAATCTTAAGCAGGCTCCATGCCCAGTGTGGAGCCAACAGGGGGCTCAATCTCATAACCCTGAGCCAAAATCAAGAGTTGGACACTTGATTCACTGAGCCACCCAGGTACCTCCACAATTTAACTTTTATAACTCTTTACAGTATAAGGAAATTATGTAATCTTAATGTTTTAACACAGTTTTTAAAATTAATAAAAGAGATCCACAGAAAGTTTCCAAACTCTTTTATGAAGTGAGATTTGACAGATAAGCCCAAAAATGATTTAATAAAAAAGAAAAGCCACAGGCCAATCTCATTAGAGGCCAATCCCCCCTCCCGTCAGCTACTGGCAAACACAAATATTAAAAAAATAAATTATTCTCCATGCTAAAAGTTCCATGTGTGACAATACTCAAGGAATGATTCTCTAAAAAACAATCTAGAAATGTAACATATTTCATTAAATCTAAGATGCCACTGATTTTTTATGATCCATGATTATTTTTTTTACCACCAAGAAAAAGGAATATTATCAATTGTGGGGCGCCTGGGTGGCTCAGTGGGTTAAGCATCAGACTCTTGATTTTAGCTCAGGTCATGATCTCAAGGTCATGACCCCAAGTCTGCTCAGTGTGGAGTCTGCTTATGCCTCTCCCTCTGCTCCCTTCGGCTCTTTTCCATGTGCCTGCACTCTCTCCCTCAAATAAATAAATAAACATCTTTAAAAAAAATAGATTCTCTCCCCCCACCCTCTTATTCTCCACCACCAAAATTTACATATATATAAAATCAACTGTAATTATAAGGTAACACTGACTATAAGAAGCACTCCCATATTCAGAAATATTCAAATATAAAAAATAATCTTGGGACTGATAAAATACAGTACTGACCAGTTTAACAATATTATAAGAAAAATCATGTGATAATCTATAGATGCTAAAAAGATATGTGACTAAATTCAGCACTCATTCTTGATTTTTAAAATCTTAATAAAATGGGGAAAAATATATATTTATCATGTCAAAGAAGAATCCATTGATTATTAAAAGGTTATTCCAGATATTAAAAACTATAAGGAAAACATTTTTGGAAAACAATCTTGAATTAAGAATTACCTTCATACTTACATGAAGAAAGCCAATGTGGAGAACACACCACACGTATGAAAGGCATGGTTCAACTGCTCTGGCTTAGGGTACACCACGGCAGCATCAATCATTATCCACCAACCTGTAAAAAACTTGTGCAAGAGCCCAAGTCATTAAGATAACACTACCACTTCGGCTTAGCATGAAGTTACTTGCTCTGTAATATTCCTATATTTCTACAGACCATATAAATGAAACATAATATATTTCTACTTTAGAGTTTTGGATGTGGAAATATAACAAATAAGAATCCCTTGCTGACTTACTCTGGATAACATCTGAGGTGAACTTAACCTAATCAAATCAGTGTAAGATTCTGAAGTTCTGCTCTCAATTCAGGATAAAAAAAATGTGTTATCTGGAACGAATTATCTTCTTCTTTTATCCTCCATAATTACATGCACTGAAGCTCTCTTTTTAAAATATATTATTTAGGGCAGTCCGGGTGGCACAGTGGTTTAGCGTGCCTGCAGCCCAGGGTGCGATCCTGGAGAACCGGGATCGAGTCCCACGTCGGGCTCCCTGCATGGAGCCTGCTTCTCTCTCTGCCTGTATCTCTGCCTCTCTCTATCTCTCTCTCTCTCTGAATAAATTAGAATATATTATTTATTTATTTATTTGAGCGCAAGAGCGCGAGCACACATGCGTACAGCGGGAAGGGCAGAGGAAGAGAATCTCCAGCAGACTCCCAGCTGAGTGCAGAGCCCAACACAGAGCCAGATCTCACAACCCTGAGATCATGACCTGAGCCAAAATCAGGAGTCGATGCTTAACTACCTGAGCCGCCCAGGCACCCCTGAAGCTCTCTTAAGTAACCTCCAGCTAACCAGCTCCTGATTACCTGATGTGTTTCATTCTCTCCAGAGAACATTCCTCTTTGATATGCCCAAGCTCTTCTGCTTCCACAAATGAGCTGCATTACCAAGTGTCAGCTGTCATGTCTCCAAAACTATTTAAGCCTGCTGCAGTTTTAATCGATGATGCAGTTTGATTAAATGCTGCCTAACTGTCTGAACACAAGTTTGTAAAATGTAATGTTTCTATGTAAACTAAGCTGAAAAGACTTAGAGGAACTTTTAAAGAATGTCATGGACAAATTAAGTGCAGGTGAGATGACCACAAAGCGCATAAAAAAAGTAGAGAATTCACAATTATCTTTAATTCCTGCTCTGGGTTATTTATTTTTTTTCTACTAGACCTCAGGTATAGAACTGTATACTGAAAGAGATACATTTTAAAAATGTAATGGATACTGAAATTGGCTTCAGAAACTCAGTGAGGGCAGGGAGTAGATGATGGAACACTAAAGCAAGATGGTCTTGATTTTTTTTTCTGAAGCTGGACTGTATGAACATGGGGTGAGTAGGGTTCTTGATCCCATTCTATTTTTGTTGACTGTACATGCTTAACATGTTTTGTAATAAAAAACTGAAAAAGAAAAAAAAATGTTAGGAAGAAAACGAAGCAAGTGTTTCCTCCACAAATGTCTTCCTCTCATTTCCCTGTCAGAGCTGCAGCGGGGGGTAACTGGGCTGGGGTCCCTTTCCTAGAGCACTGCAGGGCTTCAGTTCTAACACAGCCTCAGGTCCTTACTGCTGTCTACACATCCTGAATCTCAGTGAGTCACAACACTATTTGGTTATCAAGTTCCAAGCCTCTGATGAGCTTACAGGACTTATATTGTATCATTAACTTAAAAAATGCTACTGCTTGTAATAACTGTATTATCACTTGAACTGAAGATATTAAGTTTAACAAATTTATAAAGTCAAACCAACCCAGGGCTTGCTTACCATGTTTTGTTCAGCAATACCTAGAATTCTAATTATTCCTCTAAAATAACAGTGAAATAAACACTTCTGAAAAGGTATTCGTGATCCAAAGGAATTGACAATTTTCAGGGCAAAGGGATGCCTGGGTGACTCAGTGGTTGAGTGTCTGCCTTTGACTCAGGGCATGATCTCTGGGTCCTGGGATCAAATCCCACATTGGGCTCCCCAAGGGGAGCCTGCCTCTCTCTCTGCCTGTGTCTCTGCCTCTCTCTTTCTCTCTGTGTTTCTCATGAATAAAAAAATAAAATCTTGGGATCCCTGGGTGGTGCAGCGGTTTGGCGCCAGCCTTTGGCTCAGGGCGCGATCCTGGAGACTCGGGATCGAATCCCACATCGGGCTCCCGGTGCATGCAGCCTGCTTCTCCCTCTGCCTGTGTCTCTGCCTCTCTCTCTCTCTGTGACTATCATAAATAAAAAAAAAAATAAAAAAAAAATTAAAAAAATAAAATAAAATCTTAAAAAAAAATTTTTTTTTAGGGCAAAAAATTAGGCAAAGTGTCACCAACCAGACCTTTTCACTTACCAATATGCCTGCTACCACAGAAGCCACGGCATTTCTTCTCTCACTCCAGTCAATACATTCACATTCTGGCCAACGGAAATTATCGAGGAAGCCTGCCATTTTCACCCCGTAAGCATGGATTTTTCATTAAACTCTGTATTCGACAAATAAAAAGACAAAAAATAATCAAATCTAAGGAAATGTTTTTAAGAAGTGAAATATCTTTTCCTTTCTTAAAGTTTTAAACAGAAATTGGCTTTAGGTCCAGACCTAGAGTTAAGGAAGAAAAATTAAATACTTGAATGAATACCGACTGACATGTACACACAGGATTGTGTTGGGACACAAGGGGAAGTTTACTATTTGCTAAATGAGCCTGATGGTTTTAAAACATGACTGCCAATTCTCTGACACTTCTGCTTCACTGAGAAATCAATGTCCCTCTCCTGGAACTCAGGCTTGGCAATCAAAACTGGCTGACCAGTAGAGTAGAGGAAGTGATTCTATGTAATGTCTGCCATACAGCTTCTATGACTAGATAGTAAAAGGCAACACAGCTTGTAGCTCGTTCTCTAGAACACTAGTACCAGACTTCTGAGTTGCCATGTAAAAAAATCTATGGTCAGAATGCTGTGAGGAGACCATGTCCAGGTGTTCTGGCCCACGGTTCCCAGCCAACAGGTAGCACCACCTGCCACATGTGTGAGCAGCCACTTCTAGGTGACTGCTCTTCCAGCTATTGCACCAGTCCAGTACCCAGACTTCCAGCTTTACCCAATGAAGCCCCAGATATATGGAGCAGAGACACCATCCTGGCCATGCCCTTGGCCAATTACTGACTCACAGTAAACCATAAGCATAACAAAATGGTTGTTTTAAACGACTAAGTTTCAGAGTTATCAGGAACACAGCAATCAATAACTTGCAGGAGAAAAATCATGTGCATAAAGAACTATAAGGGTATAATATGCCGTGAGAATTTTTTTAAGTACATTTTGAGGGGATCCCTGGGTGGCTCAGCAGTTTGGCGCCTGCCTTTGACCCAGGGCATGATCCTGGAGACCCGGGATCGAGTCCTGCATCGGGCTCCCGGCATGAAGCCTGCTTCTCCCTCTGCCTGTGTCTCTGCCTCTCTCTCTCTCTCTCTGTGTGTGTGTGTCTATCATGAATAAATAAAATCTTTAAAAAATATAATAAAACAAAGTACATTTTGATGAGGTGATCCAGGAACACCTTAAATTCCAAAAAGTAAGGGGGAAAAAACTATTTGAAAGCACTGAAGAGTGCTGAAAAGCAGGCAGACACTGGAGGGAATTTAACCCTCAAAAGAAAACACAAGGAGTTAAGATCTAGTTGGACAGGAATGAGTCACAGGAAGGAGCCCCAAACACTTTAATATAAACTCTCTTTAAATACCTGGCTAATCCCCCAGAGAGAACATAAATGGAGGAAATTTCAAGAAACTCAGCAGGAAAACAAACAAACAAAAACAAGCTGGAAGGCTAAAAGAACTAAGCAGAGCTCTCCTACTGCCCAATGCAGAATATTTTAGAGTTTGTTCCACTGAGTCAGAAGAGATCAGTAAACATCTTGGCATAGTAAACATCTTGGCATTACTCTAATAAGGTATAAAACCAAGTGTCTACAATTTGAAGGTGCTCAGCCAGCATTTTTAACAGCCTGTTAGAACAAAAACTGACATTCTTCGGATGAAGATAACTGAACTGAGAGTATCTATAATTTATCATCCACAATGTCTAATATGTAGCCAAAAATTACTAGACAGGGGATCCCTGGGTGGCTCGGCGGTTTAGCGCCTGCCTTTGGCCCAGGGCGCGATCCTGGAGTCCCGGGATCAAGTCCCACGTCAGGCTCCCGGCATGGAGCCTGCTTCTCCCTCCTCCTGTGTCTCTGCCTCTCTCTCTCTCTCTACGTCTATCATAAATAAATAAATAAATCTTTAAAAAAATTACTAGACACTCACAGAAGCAGGAAGAATGCAATCTATTTTCAAGCCAGGGGCGGGGGGGGGGGCGGTGCGGGGAGAAGTCAATAGAAATAGGCCCCAAAATGACTCAGATATTGAAATTAGCAGACAAAGACTTTAAAGCTACCATAAACACAATCAAAGACTTAAATGAACATGGCCCAAATGAAGTGATGAAGAATCTCAGTGGAGAGATTTTAGAACTGAAAATTATAATATTTGAAATTTTAAATGAACCAAATGGACTTAACAGGAGATTAGGGACAGGAGAAGAAAAGAGTGGTAAACTTGAGGGAAGATCAAAAGAAATTATCCAATCTAAAGAACAGGGATGTTTTTTCCCCAACTGAGAAAAAAAAAAAATGAACAGAGCCTCAGTGTACAGAGGATCACTAGTAACTGATCCAATATATGTTGAACTAGGTCCCAGAAAAAGACAGAATGAAGAAAAAAATATTTGAGAAAATAATGGCCGATAATTTCCCACGTTTAGTGATAAATAGTAATTTATAAATCCGGGAAGCTCAGCAAACTCCAAGAAGGTTAAACAGAGAAAACTTCATAATCAAATGCTGAAAATTAGAAAAAAAAAATACTTGAAGTAGTTTTAGGGGGGAAAAAATCAACATATTACTATCATTTTTTCAACATATTACATATAGCATAGAATAATACAATGACCCATCTATCACCAGAAACAGAAGTGGCCAGGATACTGAAAATAATTTCTTTAAGTGCTTTTTAAGTGATCAATTTCAATATCTAGTGAAAATATTCTTCAGAAAAGAACATGAAGGGGCACCTGGGTGGCTCAATCAGTTAGGCATCAAACTCTTGATTTCGGCTCAGGTCATGATCTCAGGGTGGTGAGATTAGGCCCCAAGTCGAGCTCCAAGCAGAACTTGGAGCCTGCTTCTGATTCTCTGTCTCTCTCTCCCTCTGCCCCCCAACCCTGACCTTGTGCATTTCTCTCTCTCTCAAAATAAATATTTTTTTAAAAAGGGAGCATGACAGCCATTCTACTATCTACCCAAGAGAAATAAAAAGATATATCTACATAAAAACTTGAGCACAAATTTCATAACAGTATTAGTCATAATAGCCAAGAAGCATAGCAATCCAACATATATCAAATGAATAGATACATGAAATGTGGCATACCTACAATGGAATACAAATTCAGTAATGAAAGGGAATGAAGTACTGACACATGGTATAACACAGAGGAACCTCAGAAACATTATGCTAAGTGAAAGATATAAGACCACATCTTGTATGATTCCATTTATATGAAATGTCCAGATGAGGGAAATCTACAGACAGAAAGTAAATTTGTGGTTGCCTAGTGACAGTAGGGGGACTGGAACAGAGAGTCACTGCTAATGGGTACAAGGTGCTAAAATTAGACTGTGGTCAGACCATCGTAGGGGAAGGGAAGAGAGAGGTAGACCATGAAACAGACTCTTAACTACAGAGAATACACTGATGGTCACCAGAGTGTAGGTGGGTGGGGGATGGGGAAAACAGGTGATGGGAACTAAGGAGGGCATTTGTGATGAACACTGGGTGTTGTACCGAAGTGCTGAATCACAGCTGTATACGCATATGTGAAACGCATATTACACTGTATGTTAACTAACTAGAATATAAATAAAAACTTAAAAAAAATAATACTGTGGTGGACAGCCCGGTGGCTCGGCGGTTTAGCGCCGCCTTCAGCCCAGGGTGTGATCTAGGAGACCCGGGATCGAGTCCCACATCAGGCTGCCTACATGGAGCCTGCTTCTCCCTCTGCCTGTGTGTGTCTCTGTCTCTGTCTCTGTCTCTGTCTCTCTGTCTCTTGTGAATAAATAAAATCTTAAAAAAAAAATAATACTGTGGTGATGACTGCACAACTCTGTAAGTATACTAGACATCATTGACTTGTACACTTGAAATAGGTGAATGTTAACATATGTATAGCTCAATAAAGCTTTTTTATAAAAATGAAGATAAAAATATTCTCAGGTAAACAAAAACTGAGGTAAATCATCACGAGATCTGCACTAAAAATAATGCTATAGGAAATTCTTCAGGCTGAAGGGAAACGACACCAGATGAATCTCTGATCTGCAGGGAGAAATAAGGAAAACCAGAAATGATCAATATGTAGATAAATATAAAAGACTATCTTTTCTTCTTATACTTAAAAGAGAACTATGTAAAGCAAAAATTTAACACTGCATAGCATGTCCACAAAGATGGACTTCTTTATAAACAGTATGTTAGTTATATTTTCAAATAATATGCTTAAATATGGATTCAGGTGAAATACCTCTAAATTTAAAGTAATGGATCCAACTATGCTGAAAAATAAGTACAATTAATATATGATAGAAGGTCCAAATACTGGAAACATTGCCTGGGAGACAATATTTGCAAAACAACTATCTGACAAAGGACTTCAATCTATAATATAGAAAGAACTGGACATGAGTAATAAAAAGATAAAATATAGGCAGTAAAAAGTATGCAAAAGACTTGAGCCAATTTCAAATGGGCAAAAGACTTAAAAAGACAACTAATGACCAAGAAGCACATAAAGAGGTATTCAACACCGTCAAGTCATTAAGGAAGTGCAAATTGATGAAATAACACCTCACATTCACTAGAACAGCTAAAATTTAAAAGACTGGCACCTCTCAGCATGGGTGAGGTTGTAGAACAAGTGGAAATCTCATATATTTCTGGTGGCAGTTTCTTATAAAGTTAAAAATAAACTTCCAATTCCATTCCTAGGTATTTGCCAAAAGAAGTAAAAACACATATCGACACATAAATAAAGACTTAGAGAAGAATGTTTTTAGCAGTCTTATTCGTGATAGCCCCCAAATGAAGCAACCTAAATGTTCATCAACAGAAGGATGGAGGGTGCCTGGGTGGCTCTGTGGTTGAGCATCTGCCTTTGGCTCAGGGCCTGATCCCGGGGTCCTGGAATTGAGTCCCACATCAGGCTCCCCACAGAGCCTCTGCCTATGTCTCTGCCTCTCTCTCGTGTGTCTCTCATGAAAAAATTAAAAAAAAAATCTTTAAATAAATAAAGAAATAAAACAGAAGGATGGATAAATAAGTTATGATTGAGGGGCGCCTGGGTGACTCAGTAGGTTAAGCATCTGCCTTTGGCTCAG